CCTAATAAACAGCACCAGTGCAATTTGAGTTTAAAAAATTGGAAATATCGAGACATTCCTAAGGTTTTCATAATGACTAAGGGCCAGTCATATGGGGCTCTACTGCAAACCTCTGCCCTGGCCAGTATCCAAAAAGCACCCCATGTAAATCCCTCTAGCTTGCAGATGAACTGTGTTAGGGCTAATATAAGGCCAGATCAAGGAAGCAGAAAAGCTGGCATGCTATCCTGGGTTTGAGAGAAAGGGGCATGCTGATGAGGAAGAAAGATCTTCAGGGATCATTTCTTTTTTCTGCAGCCCAGGATAAAGGGATGTGCTGAGATGGGTCACAAATTTTATATCAATGAGTATTTGACTCATGCCATTCACCAGAATACAGAGCTCAGCAGAGCTAAGTCTTACTTGGCAGCTGCACCAGTCCACTATCGTCTGGAGCAGGAAGGGCCATTAAAGAGAAAGGCCCAAGGAAGTCCAGCTCAGTCATCTTGTCACGCTTCCCAATAGTCTCTGTAGAACTGATCGATGGTGTGCCATGTGATGGCAGTTCTACCTTTCCTCTGTGCTGATGAAGACCCCTTCATATCTGCATCTTAGACCTTGACAGTGAGCATCACAGAAGTGAGGGCAGTTCTGCTCCCCTTGAGCCATCCATCATCTGCCTTGGGGCTCCTAGCCACTCAGCAGGCCTTCGCCAAACCTGCCTTTTTCACACATAGGCAGAATCACTGGACTGAGTCCTGCCAAAATTGGGAACACTGACTCGAGGCAGGTCTTTGTTACGTATCTCATAGACTGACTTTCTCTTGGCCTGGGCCCCCCGGACAGCCAGTTTGATCTTGCGCCATCCCAGATGGTTAAGTTCAGCCAGATTGAGCACCACACAAATGCCGCTCACAGCAAACATGAACACCAGAAAGACTGTCTTCTCAGTAGGTCTAGACACATAACATTCCACCTCCTTGATGCAGGGGTATCTGTTACACTCATACAACCCTGGGACACTAAAGCCATATAGAAAGTATTGGCCCACCAGAAACCCAATCTCCAGAGCATTTCGGAATACCACTTGGATGATGTAGAAGCGGGAGATACCTTCCTGTCTTCGGAGCTTGGACCTTGCTGCTGTGCGCAGCCCTGACGGGTGTGGAGTCAGCTCTTTAACCTCTAAGCAATCTGGTTCTGTCTCCTTGCTGGTGTTCTCTGTGTTCTGCAGCACCCCGTTCACAATGGCATTTTGCAACTTCTTATCTTCTCGCTTGCTCCCACCACTGCCCCCAACCCCAGTTCCTCCAGGTCCCCCTATAGACTCAGTGGGGTCTCTGTCCAGGGCTAGGAAGACAGTAGAGTACCGGCGTTCTCTCTGCTTGGCCGACTGATGCACGGAATAGGTGATGAAGCAGAGACTGGGGGTGCACACCATTATGATCTGGAAGACCCAATAACGGATATGGGAGATGGGAAAGGCGCGGTCATAGCAGGCCTGGTTACAGCCGGGCTGCAGGGTGTTGCACACAAACATGGTCTGCTCATCATCGTACACCGTCTCCCCCACAATGGCCACAATGAGTATCCGGAAGATCACCACCACAGTCAACAGGATCCTGAGCAGAGGAAAAGGAGGGGGGAGAGAGGTTCTCATAGGCTAAGTCACTAATGGCAAGTCCCTGATCTTTACTTTTTCAATGTTTACCAGTCCTTGGACGAGGGAGCTGTCCACCCTTGAGTGGTACTGAACTGAGAGCCTGGAAAACAACTTTATCTCTTTTCTGTTTGGGGCTGGTAAGCCTGGTATACTTCATATTACAAAGATCTCTCCTCTGCAGAATTTCATACACTTTTAATGGTTCTTTTGTAATGTGTCTATTTCAGCTTTATATGAAGACTGTATAGAGACTCTAAGTACATCTTTACTCTGGCCAATGCAAGCAAAATCCATTACAGAGGATGTGTGTTTGAGGGTCTACGCATGGGGTGAGTATGTAAGTCCTAGTCTCAACATATAAAAACCTAATTGCCCATAGAAACAGTTATGAACGCAAAATTCACATGTCTATATACATAAATAGATAGCTGCAGGTAGATATAAATATGAATAAATATATATACATACATATGTGTATATATACATAATATAGATATAACTACCCACCAAAAGAAGCCAGCTCTGTGTGTGTGTCTCTCTCTCTGGCATTAAGTTTTACCGGAAAACAGAGTCTAGCTTAATAAATATCTGTTAAAGAACGATGCATCTGCTGTGATGAGCAAATCCATCTCCCCACTTGCCCTTCTCTGTCCAAATGCAATTCTGCCTTCCTTGTAGAATCTATTTAGGGAACCAGATGGAGACTGGTCCTGACTCTGGAGAGAAGGGGTACCAGGACTGAGTCCACAAGTCCTTTTCTGATGACGGAAGCTTGAACCCCTTCCCCCTGTGGTGCTGTATTGAGAAAGTATGGGGGAGCTGGTCGGGAGTAACTGGAGGAGGGGGGCGTCACTGGGCTTTGGGTAATCCCTTAATGCAGGCAACACTGGCACTTGGACAGAGGATGGGGAGGAGGAGGCAGAGGGCCGGCTAGGGGTCTGGGGGTCCTTAGAGGTAGGAGAAGGTATTCCCAAGGGCCACCCGACGGGCCCACTGACGGCTGGCTCGGTGCCCTTACCTCCCGATCATAGTGGAGTGCTGCTGCACCGCGGCTTCCAGCAGCCTCTCCAAGATGGTCCATTCCCCCATCGCTGTGCATCCGGAGGCAGCAGACAAAGACTGGGCAGTACCGGGCACGTTCCTGGTCCTGGCCCCTCCCCGGGCCGCACCTCCTGACCGGGAGCGAATTGCCCCCCAATTAATGAAGCAAACAAAAAATCTTTCTTAAAAAAAAAAAATCCAAGAGCCCCTCCCCCTTTTATTGCACTTGAAAAGGGTGAGTAGGGGGAAAGCAATCTAAGCGCGTCCGGACCAATGGGGCTCTTGGCGCGGTGCGGAGGAGCTGACCAGCACCTAGCTGCCGTCCGGGGGTCAGGTGGACTCCCGCAGTCTTCCGGCGAGGGGCGGGGCTGGGTGGCAGCGTGCAGGTGGCCGAGCTCCTGCCCGCGGGAGACCGGTCTCTGCGCCGCCTTCCCCGCGATCTTGCAGTCTGAGGGAGGGTCGGCGCACCGTCCCCGGTGCCTGTCACTGGAGCGGGCACCTGGCGCTACCGCTCTGCTGCGGCGCGCAGTGCTGGCTGCGGGGCTGGGGAATCCGCGGCCACCGCCTCTAATCCGCCCTTAAGTAGTCTCCGCCTGCGTCACGCCAGGTCGGCGGAGGGGAGCAGAGCGCGGCGTGCCGCTGTCGCCGAGCGTCGGAGCCCGAGGGGCCGCGGCCGCGCGCCGCGGGAGGGTGGGGGAGGAGGAGACGGTGTGGAGTCCCCCGCTGCGCCGGGGCTGGGGACGTCAAGGACTGCAGCGCCCCTCGGGGCTTCTGGGGCTTCCAGGTAACCTCACCTGGCCGCCGGCCTCCCGCTAGAGGAGCAGACTCGTAGGTGAGTGAGGAGGGAACCGAGTAGGTAGGTAGCTTAGCCGGTCCCCGCCTGTCCCTCACCTTTAGCTTTGGGCCTTCCGAAGCACCACTGAGATTCCTTTTCCAGATCCTGGTGCTGGTTGGGGGGAAGGGCTCTTCTTAGCCCTTACCGGGAGAGGACAGCCTCCGGCGGGAGTGCTGCAGAGGGTCCTGGCTTCGGTGAGTTGATCAGGAGTGAGGAAGATCTGCTGAGACTACCTGCTGGCTGACGCCTAACTGCAGGTGTGGAGGTGTTCTGAGCATGAAGGTCTGGGTACAAAGTATTTGCCAACCAAACAGGTGCCTAGCAGCGAGTCAGTGGGCTGGCCACGATGAGTTCCCATTTCTCCCTGCACAGATTAGGAGGCTGCGTTTTCAGTTGCACGTAACTGATGGGAGCAGGGGGTACTTTTCAGGTTAGCACGGTCCAGCCTGAATGTTAAGAACCCAGTATTCATCTAGCGAAACAGCAGCTCACAATCTCACCCGCACCCCCCCCGCCCCCCCCTCCACACTCCCTCCTTATTGAGCCTTTGCTTTTCTCCCTCCCTCAATGAACAGATTCTAGAATCGGTTTTTTAAATTTACATTTTGTTGTCACTTCCCTCTACAGCGCCCACTTAATTGGTCCCAGGAAAATTGAAATAATCACGGCAGGCTGCCAATTAGCTAAGGGTCAGTTTTAGGAGACATCAAAGTTGGGGGTGTTTCACATAAATACCCAAAGCACAGTGAGTAAGGACGTGTCGTCCTTTCGAAGATCTGACTGGGAAGGGGTTGCTAGCTGGTCTTAGGAATATAATGCAGCCGTAATTACCCACAGGGAGCACACACATGTGTATTATATAAGTTACACTAGGATGTGCTTTGACTCTAGAACAATTGAGTCAGTTGGGTACCGGGTGGCCCTGAGACTGAGAGGAAAGATGCAGAGTAGAGCCTGGAGTCTCCACACGTCCCATTCTGCATGCATACTGCTTACAGACGGAACCCAAGCTTGAGCATCAGTGGTATGACTGCACCAAGGTTGTCTCTTGGGGCTGACACTCTTAGTCCAGGGAAGCCGATCTTCATGGACAGCAGCAGTGAAGGAGTCCACCAGAGATGGAGAAATATGTAGGGTATAAAGGGAATGCTACCGTTAAGGCAGGGGCGGCTTCACCCTCCTGGCAGAAAAATATGCACGAGAATGGAAATAGAAAGAAATTTTTTTTTCCAGTTGGCTAACAGATGGATGGTGATTCCCTCATCTCAAACGTGATGCACATTCTCTTTGCTCCCTTGAGTCCCTGAATCTCATCTATGGCAGACGTTTTTGGAGTAAAGAACCATAGAGAGAAAATGAATGAGAAAGTACCAAGGGCAATCTCATTAACAACCTTTAAATGCCCCCTAATAAGCTACATAACTCAAAGTCGTCTTCTGTGCTTAGGTCTTGCCAAACCTTTATAGATAGTGAGTATAATGCAAATTTCAATCACTAGGCTATGACGGAATTGTTAACCAGCAGTTTATTATTTTTAAATATGTTTCAATATGACACATGGAAGACACACATGTACCATTGGTAGATAAACACTCAAAACACTTCTACGTAGAGCCTATGATATATTAATTACTTTGTTTTTAAAGCTACAAAACTTATTCTTACCATATTTTATTTTATTTGTCAAAATTTTAGTTGTTTACTGCACTGCAATAGACAGAAGAAGCACAAACCCTAATTTCTGTGTGAAACTGTATTAAAATACAATTAGGAAATTGAAATTATAGACAGCAAAACTTCCACGGGACAAAAATAACTGTAGAATATTCATCAATTTAAATTTCATTATTTTAAATTCCAAACTTTCTTATTTTCAGAGATCAAAAGCCTGTCAAGAGAATATGCAAGAGGTGCACAGATATTTAGAAATAAAATGCAAATGTCACTCCAAAGATTGGGACTACAAAATCCAGAAAAGATCCAACTTTTAACTACTTTTATTTTCAGAAATCATGCATAAGTGGTTAAGCACATCTATGTTTGCCTTCCTCTTTTGAGCCCAATCTACACCATTTTCAATGAATAATTTGTCTTGATTGTTCTGCATTAAATATAAAGAGGTTTTATATACAGCTGGACAACTCTGAGTTTCCTCGGGGCATTATTTCATCTGTCTGGTCTCTGACTTCTCAATTCCTCTCTGATTGTAGCTACTTATTTAAGTCAACTGTGAAGTTCCTCCCATTAATTCTAATTTGAAGATCATTTTATAAGACTAGAGCAAGGGCCTCAGATGGTAATCAAATATAGGACACATAGAATTAATCTTAGTGTCCAGTAGGCCGCCTGGGTAGGTTAAGAATACAGATACCAAACTGCCAAACCAGATTGCTAAATTAAAGTCTGTGGAAGCAAGGGTCAAACTCTTGTCAACTAAAATTTGGATAACATTTACATTCCATGCTTGCTAGTATGGGAATGAAACCCGGAAGTCAGGAAACCTCTCCCCATACTTCACAGATCTGAAAACAGACCTATCTGTGACTTGGTAAGTGAAAGTTCACAGGGACTGTACATGTTATAGTGAAGGTGGATCTCCCGGCTTTGGCCCTATTCCTGGACCATAAATCCTTAAGGAATAGAGATCATAATTAATGGCACATTGTTTCTTAGCATACAATGACAAATATGGTGTTCAGAGACTTTAGGAAGACTGACATAATGTAAAATGGTGAAAACCCCGACCTTTAGAGTGGTTTGGATCATAGAGACGTAGGTACCTGTAATTATGTAAATCACAATGACTTCTGGTTTGCTCTCTTTGTGAATCCCCGTCTTAGCAGCTGGCGATGCCCATTGACCAAGCAGGAAAAGCTTTATCTCAGCTGGAAGGAAAAAGCTGCAAAGACTAGCAAAGGGTGTGGTAGGCTGTAGAATTAATATTCTGACCCAGGAATGGAATGCAGAGTTACTGACAATGATAAATATTACTATGTGGGCATGTCTTGATGTGCGTTCATCTTTATATATACTTGAAACCTCATTTCCTTCAACCACAGGTTCTACATGAACTTGTAAACAATGCAGCTTCAAGTATCTGGTAACTGAAATTTCACTAAACTCCATACTCGTAAAAATGAATGTTGTTCTTTTGACCTCTGCTTTACTAGAACATTTGCTATTGGGAGAACAGAGGGCATGTATTCCTCGTGGTCTTTAGCACTGTGGAAATCAAACATTTGTTGGAGGAGTATGGTGAAGACACTCAGGCCAATTAGCTCTTGTGACCTGGGAGGGCTACATGCTCCCTGATTGGAGGTCATCTCACTTCTCCTCTATGATGTAATTGTATTTAAGACAGAGAGGAAAAGGGGATCCATTTGGCACATGGGACTTTTAACACATTAGGGGTGGCCTGGATTCCTCGGGGAGAAAGCCTTCTTGCTAACTATTGGTCCCTGCTGTTGTCTTCTCTATTCTTTGCCTCCTCGCTGTGGTCCTGGCACTTGCTAAACTAACCCAGGGACTGCTGCAGCAGCAAAGCTTAGGCTGCAGCATCAGCAGCATCAGCAAGGTGGCCTTGGAAAGCTGATCAGAGCTCTGCATGCATCTCTCCTGGGAAGCACAAACATCTGCAGCCTCCCAGGATCCATGTGATGGGGAAGACTCTATTCTGTGTGGGATTGGTCTCAGGGTTACAGTCTTTCACATTTCATTCACGAGCAGAGTTCACTGAGATTCACTTCCCCCAGTGGCCTGCATGCATCTGTTCACCAGTGAGAACATCAAATTGCCTTCTGAAGGGATAAAACTAACTTGTCTTAGGAGACTTAAAAGCACATAAATGGCGAATGGAATTTACTCGTTGGTGCAAAGTGACGTCTCCCTTTTTATCTTTTGTGTTTCTTCCATATGTTTAAATCTCAGCCCAGATTTTTAGGGAAATGCTTGCCTTGAGAGATGTACAAAATTTACTGTCTCAAAGGGGAATAAAGCTGTGCAACCCACTGATCATAAACAGCCCTAAATATGGCCAGAATCTGTCGCCATCCATGAGCCCAAATTCCAAACTGTGACTTAGCCTCAAGAAATCATGTTTCTAACTGATGGTCAAATCTACCATCTTCCTCCTGCTAGTCCTTTGAATAAAGAGAATGTACGTAAAAAAAAAAGCACAAATTCCCCATTTCTCATTCACCTTGTATATAAAATAAATATGCCTTGTGCAGTAATGTCTCAGGGATTAACGCAATATGGCATTGTGGCCAAGGCAGAAGTGTGAAATCACAGCAAATAAACTAACACTCCATTAAGAATCAAATCAGTCCTGCTGACATATAATCTTTCCCGTTTATGTCAAGTCGTGATTCCCATTCACATTGGGAGCTTCCCAGGGAGGCTCATTAGACCCGCAGGAAGAGATTTCTTTTAAGTTGAAGCTATTCAGAAGTTATTCAGCGACAGTGCCAAAGAGCCATCCTGGTGTCTGGGTCCCCGCCTCTCCACGATCTTTTTGTCACTGTCCACCCAGAGCCCCAGCCATGCAGGCTATAGCCAGGCTTCCTGCTGGGTTTCCAGTCTGTATAAAAGAGATGAGGAAATTACAGGGGAAATGCATGTGGGTAGGGCCTGCCCTTGAGAAATGGTCGGACTGGGAGAATATTTTTTGGTTGTCATATGCACCTGCCTCTGCCTCTTTTTTTTAAAATTTTTTTATAAATTTATTTATTTACTATGTATACAATGTTCTGTCTGTATATATGCCTGCAGGCCAGAAGAGGGCACCGGACCTCATTACACATGGTTGTGAGCCACCATGTGGTTGCTTGGAATTGAACTCAGGGCCTTTGGAAGAGCAGGCGATGCTCTTAACCCTGAGCCATCTCTCCAGCCCCCCGTGCCTCTGCCTCTTTTACACCAGACTGTGGTGCTGAAAGTCAGACCTGAGAGTTGAGTTCTTCCTGCTGCTTTATTGGAGCTTCCCGTGTGATAAGGTGGGGTAGGGAGGAGTCCGTAGAGGAAGCATCTCTAAGAGGAGATATGTTTAAGCCCCATGTGGACTCTACTGGCTGCCTGCTTCTTGACTTCCAGAAGTTCAGTCAACATCTGCTTCATCAGGGTTCCGGAGACTCAGTGTTGTTTAGATCGGAGATTGCTTTTGACAACCAACCAGCTTTCTGCTCTCTCCTAAGCACCGGCAGCAAAGACTGCTGTGGAGGGCCTCTTGTTTCTGCAGATGAGTCAGACTAGCGACAGGCCACTTGCCACTCAGCCCATGTTTAGTCTAACCCAGCGGTTCGCAACCTGTGCGTTGTGACCCCTTTAAGGGGATTACTTATCAGATATTCTGCATAACAGATATTTACATTACGAACCATAG